GGGTGGGGCAGGAGTAGTAGATTTTTGTTAGAGGAAGTGAGGGTCAATTGGAAGGTACTGTGGATACAGAGGGATGGAAAGAATTTTCAGGGAGGTGGAATATTTAACACACTGACATTGTATCATATAAGAAGGCGCTTTAGCACAGCACTCACAGTGTATAAAAGCCTTCAGACCAGTATTACAGGGGGGGGGGGGAATCCTATTATAATCATTTAAAGCCAGGCACCTGATCAACAATAGAGTAAACTCTCCAATAGTGCTGTGCTAAGGATTTTTCCTCCTACATATACCATTTTAAAGTCTTCTGTACATTATGAGTACTTTTTGAAGTAGTGTGAACTTCTTGAAGAAGAGCTATCGAAACGAAGATCAAAATCCAGCGTCTTCGTCCTTGTCTGTGTACCATTTATGGACTTGTACTATTCATGGACCTGTACATTATATGATGTAATTTGGTTTTACTGATACATGTGGTCCTCTGTTATTCTTATTATATAAATTTAATCTTATTGCATGATTTTTTGAGCACTTGTGGTCTGCATTATTTATACAGTGCTTGTTTGCTTTCTTTGTGTAGAGCACCACCCTCATGGGTTATATCAGGGGTGTCAATCATGCGGCCCGGGTTAAAACGCTTGGGGCTCTTTAGCTTGGAGAAATGACGGCTGAGGGGTGACATGATCGAGGTTTATAACATTATGCATGAGATAGAGCAGGTAGAGAAAGAAGTACTTCTCTCCCTTTTGCACAATACAAGAACTCGTGGGTGCTCAATGAAATTGCTGAGCAGTTGGGTTAGAATGGATAAAAGGAAGTACTTCTTCACCCAAAGAGTGATTAACATGTGGAATTCATTGCCACAGGAGGTGGTGGCAGCTACAAGCATGGACAGCTTCAAGAGGGGATTAGATAAGCATATGGAGCAGAGTTTCATCAGTGGCTATTAGGCACAAGGTATAGATAGGAACTCTCAGTCTGGGGCAAGGGATGCTCTGTATTCTTGGTGCTTGGGGAGGGGGGCAACAGTGGGAGGTATTCTAGTGTCCTGGCCCCCACTGCTGGACCTCCTGATGGCACCTGGTATTTCTGGCCACTGTGTGACACAGAGTGTTGGACTAGATGAGCCATTTGGCCTGATCCAACATTGGCTTCTCTTATGTTCTTATGTTCCATCAGGCCCGCAGTTGAACTGGCCGTCTCCTGCTTCCAGTTCTGCTGCTGCTGCTGCATCATCGCTTGCTTCACCAGGCTCTCTTAATCACTCAGCCATTTCGTGTTTTAACCTGGGTCCTAGACTCAGAACTCTGAGCATGAGATTTCTGTGGTGAATGTCGATAAATCAAAAGTAGGTTTGCAGCTCACAGAGCTAATGTTTTAAGCACATTTTTCTTTTAAGTTAAAAAAAACCCCTTTGTGTTTGTGTCCTTTATAAAGTTTATATCTCCGCTACCTGGCATTACATTTTATGACACACGTGTCCCGGCCCAACAAGGTCTCATTTATGACAGATCCGGCCCTCATAACAAATGAGTTTGACACCCCTGGGTTATATGAAATTTATGGTGGAAAGGAGGTGTGTGTTCCTGGCGATTTGGGGGGGCAGAGCCTGGTAAGGGTAGAATCTGGGTAAGAGAAGGTGCTCAGCAGGGTATGTGACTCCATGGACCATCCTCCTCAGCAGACCTTTCCTCCAGGGAAACTGATCCCTGTTGTCTGCAGGTCAGTTGTAATTCCAGGAGACCCCCACCCCCACCTGGAGAACGGCAACCCTGCTCCTTCCCCATGCAAAATGGAGTCTACTCTGGGAAGCCCAGCTCAAATACGACAGTCTATGGTCCTTTCACTGAAAATGCGACTACAGGAGAAAAGTCATCGTTCTGGTTCATGGCTGACAGCCTCTCACCCAGTCATGCAACATCGGCTTTCAAAACAGAAATCAAAACTTAAGATCTCCGGCGAACAGAAGCAAATTACCCTTCAGCATGATCTTAAAAGGATATTGAAGACCCAGCAACCATTGCACGATCCATCCAAAGCTCTCCTATTACCTTTGTAAACATAGGTTTTCCATGTTGGGTGACCATGGTGCATTGATCACAGTCCACTGTGATGGAGGAGTTGTGGTATGATTCTTTTGAGTGCTTGAGGATGTAATACAGGTCTGTCACACCTCCTTCAAAGACAGTGCTAAAATAACGCGGAATGAGGGTCCTTCCAATTGCTGTTGGGGAAAATACAAAGCGAGACTAAGCAAAGTGCTGCAGGACATCAGTGCTTCAAAGTTGTTTTACGGCAGATCACATTAACTCTTGAGCAAAACCAACTTGTCCCTAGTTCTGCAGAAACCAACGACAAACGCTGTTAGTGGGATCTGGGCTTTGCTTCCCAGTTAACACGTCATGCTGTTGAACAAGAAACCTGCCTTTCAGGTAGTCGAGATATCACCGGCCAAGTGGTTGCTGCCTGAACCTAGAGCAGGGGCCTCCCACCTTTTTGAGCCTGTGGGCACAATCTGGAATTCTGGCGTGGCATGATGGGCGCAGCAATGAGGTGCAGCCAGCCACAAAATGGCTCCCACAGCTTAACAGTGCAGATCCTTGTGCTGCGGGGGCAGCTGCTGCCAAAGCAGCGTTTTCAAAAAATCTGCGCAGCCCATCAAATCTCCAAAAGCCAATCAGAAGCCTTGCTGGGCAAATACCCTACCTGGCCCTGCCCACGTCCTAACAGCAATTTGCGGGCACCAGAAAAGGTGGCGGTCATCGCCGTGGTGACATTTTGGGGGCCCCTGATCGAGACTAAAAACGGTCTGGATTAGAGCCTTCAGGACACAGGTTTTTACCTGATGTTTCAGAATTTTAGCCTCCTCCTTAGGGTTTCTAAGACACGATGCCTCTGTGTGCTGACTGGACGCACCAGGAGAGAAAGCAGGAATGAGCACGCTGGCCCACACGTGGCCTCCATAGTACTTCTGGCTCACAGATGTAGTACCTACCTGCAAAGGAAGTGTTCAAGCACACGCTCCCTCCCTGTGACCAGCCACATTCAGAAAGCGGGGTCCCCGATCACAGGGAGACAGCATGTGCAAAGGAACACGTCCTTCACATGTCCACACTGTGCGGATGACCCAGCAAGAGCACGGAAGCATGGGAACAAGGCGGCCATGCCTGGTCTCCCTCCCTCTGCAGAGGGATCGTGCGTAGAAGGCTAGAGCAAGAGACAAAATCAGGGTCACAGGTTACTTTCTGCCCGCCTTGAGGACTTCTGCTATTCGTTTTGTTCCTCTTCCCACAAGCCCCACCCACACAACTAGGGTTGCCAATCTCCAGATGTCACCTGGAGATCTCCTGCCATTATAACCAAGGTCAGATCCCCTGGATATAATTGGAAGGTGGCCTCTACAACCTTATACCCTGACGAGGTCCCTCCCCTCCCCAGGCTGCACCCCCAAGATCTCCAGGTATTTCCTAGCCCAGAGCTGTCATCCCTGCCACCACTACCACCAGCTGGTCATGTTCTTTGCCTGAGCCACCGGGTCCCCATCGTCTGTCCTCCAACAGGCACCAGCAAGCTCAGTCCAGCGTTGCCATTGTCCAAGTGGGGCCTGGTCACTTCCCAGAATTACAGTCCAGAATGCAGTGGCCTGTTTCCCTGGAGAGGACGGCTGCTCTGGAGGGTCGGATTCCATGGCGTTAGAACCCACTGGGCTCCATCCCAACCCCCACCCCCCCTAGGCTCTGCCCCCCCCCCCCCGGGACTTTTCCAACCTGGAATTGGCAACCCTAGCTCCGTCTCTGTCCTACCAGACTCCTCGTTTTATTTATATGGTTTATTGTGGTTTTTTTTAAAATAATTGTTTTGTTTTAATTGCGAGCCACCTTGGGTTCTGCCAGGGAGAAAGGCGGAGAATAAATGCTTGAAAGAAATAATAAATAGATAAAATTTCCAAGTGGTCTGCTCTCCTGAGAAATCACCAGGGCTATTTTTGGGCAGGAACGCATAGGAACGGAGAGTCGGCCACACCCACTTCAGAGTCGGCCACACCCACTACAGCCAAAACCTCTGCGTACGTGGCGACAGGGGAAAGGCCTGGAGAGCGACTCCCCCCAGCGACTCTGAGGCAGGGGGGCCAGGCCCCCCTGGAAGGATCGGGGAGGCATTTAAATGCCTTCCCGTGCCTTCCCTTCCCTTCAAGGGGGAGCGGGCTCCCCTCAGCCGCGGGGTGCCCAGGCAAGCCAAGGGAAGGCATGGGGGTGTGGCCTAATAGGCGAATGAGCCACACTGTCAGGGGTGTGGCCTAATATGCTAATGTGTTTCTGTTGTTGGGCGTGGCCTATTATGCTAATGAGTTCCTGCTGGGCTTTCTCTACAAAAAAAGCCCTGGAAATCACCATAGACCAGCTTAGCTTCAACGGCAGAGTTGTATCATGGGCCAAACAACAAGATCCTGGCATGCTGAAAGATTGTAACTAGAATTTGCAAAATATCTGGTAGTCTGATCGAATTCCACTGTTGGCTCAGTGGTCGTACCAAGAATGGGAGTGCCTCATAATGGAGAAGCTGTTATAGCATATCAATGAAATAACATGTCATCTTGATCCTGGAGATTTTCTTCTAACATGGATGACATTTCTAGGTTAGGGGAAAGAGGCATCGTTACACCTACTAGTGGTGCCACCAAGTTTTACCTTCATATTTAATTCACAAACATTCACTTTGGGTTTAAAATCGAGCTGCTTAACTCATCTGGGTTGATCTCACGTTTGTAGGATCAATGTCGATATTATGCTGGAAGCATTACGGTTTAGTATATCTCAAATTCAAATTAATTCTGTAATATCCTGTGGGTTATTAAAATTAATTTATGGGAGGAATGTCAATTGTTTTGTAAGAATTGATTACAGATGGCACTGTAGTGGAAACAGAGCAGTGAAATTCAGAAAAAATAATGTCGCAGATGCGTTGTGTGCTGGGTTACAACAACCAATGGCAAAGAAAGAGAGAGCTGTGAATTGTGGGGGAAAATGAAACAGGAAGGGAGTTGTAAAACTTGGGGGGAGGGCAGAGCCACAGCGAGCGAGAGGTCCGGCTGTTCTTGTTGTTGCTGCAGAGACTGGGCTGGGTAGGACCTTGGAAAATGTAGCTCAAAATTCTCTGTTGTATTTAAATAGTTTCACCTGGGATAGGGTTGCCAGACCCCCGATCCAGGTGGGAGTTCCCCTGATTTTTCTGGTTTCTGCCCACCACTGGCCAGTGGGGGAAGCCCCACCCTCAAACAGGGACATTGTGCTACAACCAGGGGTCATTTCCTGCAGGAGCACACAGGAGCAGAGCTCCGGCAGTAAAGAGCCCAGGGGGCGGGCACATGTAAGAAGCCCCACCCCCTGCTCCCAGCGGCCCTCACTCAGAGAAAGAAGCAGCCAGGTAAGTTGCAGACCCTAACCCCCCAGCCCAAAACAGTCCAGTGGCACCTTTAAGACCAAGTTTTATTCAGGTACAAGCTCTCCCTCCTCTGCGAGGGCAGATCTGGACGCTCCCCCCCCCAATAGCTAGCAATCCAAAACAGTCCAGTGGCGCCTGAGTGGTGGGTGTTGCCGTCTGACACACTTCCAGTGATGTCAGGGGGTGTGGCATATGCAAATAAGTTGTGCTAATAAGTTATGCTAATGAGCTCCTGCACCTGTTTTTCTATGAAATGACCTCTGGCGACAACACTCTGCTTTTTGGGCAAAACTCTATGGGTTTTGGCCAAAAGAACCCATAGAGTTTTGTCCAGAATGCAGTGTCGCTGCACGACGTCCCCAACATGATGATGTCACTTCCGCATGAAGTCATCGCATCAGGGACGTCATGCAATGTGTCGGCCCACCCCTGGAATGCCCACCAAGTGTTTTTAGAAAGCGGGCAGGCTTACCGTAGGTGGAGTTTTTGCCTAGTCGGACTTCTAATTGTCTGTGCAGATTAAAAGGCATCCTATGAAAGGAAGTTTCTGCCCTGAAATGTTGAGCAGGTACTAGTAGAGCTACACATTGCCTGGCTCGCTGACGTTTTGCGGTGCGCCAGCCATTTTATGTCAGGGTCCGCCTCCCAAGGCAGACATTTTGTGATTGTGCCCCTACCCTGTGTCAGAGTTTCAAAAGTGCCCATAGTCTCCAAAAGCTTGGGGACCCCCGTTCAGCTAATCATACGGAGTTCTTCTTCATATCTTATAGCATAATTGGGGTTGCCAGCCTCCAGGTGGGGCCTGGGGATCTCCCACTTTTACAACCGATCTCCAGCTGACAGAGATCAGCTCCCCTGGAGAAAATGGCTGCTTTGGAGGGCGAACTCTGTGACATTGTACCCTGTTGAGGCCCCTCCCCTCCCCAAACTCCGCCCTCTCCTGGATCCACCCCCAAAGTCTCCAGGTATTTTCCAACCCAGCCCTGGCAACCGTAAGCATAATAGATTAAGATGTAAAAGCGGATGTCCCATCTGTTCTGTTTACCAGGAAAATAATGTTTATTGTTGCAGGGAATTCAATACTGCTGTTTGTCCCTGTTTTGTCATTCGGGGGGAGCCTATTTCAAAACTGTGCTGGTATGTACACACCTACAATAGGGTGAACCAGCTTTCCTTTCCTGACAACCCCCCCCCCCCCATGTTATCGGTGAAATGTTGGGAGGGCACATCTTGCCTTTTGGTACTCATATAGTATCTTGAGCCATTCTCCATTGAAGTTAAATATTTTCAAATCCTACCGATTCTAGCTGAACAGAGTTAATCACGTGTTAAGTCCGCCATGGTTCTTTCCTGTAGCTTCATCCATTGCTTAAACTGTGTTCTACCATTATAATGCTTCAACATTTTATTCATAAAATTCACGCAAATTGTCCCCTTAATCTGTCACTAAAGACTCTACCTGGAGAGGGGTATATAACCCGGCCCAATCTGAGAAGAGCCTGATTGGTCTTGAGTGAGCAGAGGTACCGATTTTGTGAGATGTTTTGATGTGCACCAAAAAACAGACCTTTTACATGTTCACCCCACTTATGCACAGCACACATTAACTTGTGATTCCCATCCTTAAGAGCAAGAACAAATTTGTAACAGCCTGAAATCTTCTCTTAAAAAAAAAACTTTCTGATTCCAAATCCATATATACACACAGATACAAAGAAGAATTTGCATATTTATTCATCATTGTACAATTATAATAATTATAGTTTGGTATAATCTGCCCAC